ATCAATACCAATACAAAACATGTCCATATGTCAATGAAATTAAATATTGTATTAACAAATCAACAAAAAAATTACGTTTTACACTCGCATCGTTTCCCAGTATTGTTAGTTTTTTTTTTTATACAAATTAGAATGGAAAACAAGCTAACGACCCTGATGGAAAGTAGTAACCGTCGCCTATAGACATGAGCAGTACCATGGACATAACAGAGTATACTGTTTCGCCACATGATACACCCCCATGCGTTGCCATTCCTGAGGACTCAGGTGTTATTCCTCTGTACCTGTCTATTGTTTATATTAACGATTACTATTAAAATTAATGTCACGGTTTATTATGATTTCTGTCTGTATGTTATATTTGTATTAGTATTTTTATAGAAGTTATATTATATTAAGCAACTTCTAAATTTTTCACCGATTTTCAAAAAGAAAGAAGTTTTTAATTCGGTTGTACGCTTTTGTGTTTGTTACCTCATAACTCCGTCAGTTGTAAAACAATTTAGATAATTCTCTCTCTATCTGAAAAAAATATACGTACAGATTGGTCCTGTAGAAGTATTATCAAAATAGATACAGCAGTTTAGTTTTTAAATCAAAATAGCTTGTATTAGATATAAGCAGTTATTGGAGTACAAATTTAATGCTATTTTATGTAATATTTATTTTATTAATGTATTAATTTATAATCTGTGTTGCCTTGCTATAAATAAATAAATAATTAGCATAATTGAAACTGCTGTTTTTTACGAATGAAATTAATTTTAAATTATTAATTATTTTATTGTCTGTTTTATATAGTGTAGTACGATTTACAATTAATAAAACACAAAAAAAAAACACCTTGTTCCAAACATTACTCCAAAAAATTCATTTCTTTAAAATTCCTCGAAAATTTTTTACCTAAAATTGTGAGAAAATCACTCAATCTAGCAACACTGAGTATTTAGCAGACGATTTTCGTACAGAGTCTCCCTCTGGTGAGTATCTACAGTCAATAATAATCTTAAATCCCGTTCAAAACGGTATGATATAACAGTATTACTATAATTAAATTGGGAGGACAAAATATTCACCCTAGAACGTTCAAATCGCTAGTTTTCCCCCCAAAATGCGGTTAAATATAACTATTTCTGCTAAATCGCAGTAAGAGGGGCTTTAATCAAATCTGTCGACTCGGGAGTAGATAGATAATTGAATATTATGATCCACTTTAGTTTTTTATGTTAACGTACTCTGTATTTACTGATGAGATAGTAATGTATCTTGGGGTATCATGGGCGATACAGTATACTCTGTTATGTACATGGTACTGCTCATGTCTGTAGGCGACGGTTACCACTTCCCATCAGGTGGGCCGTCAGCTTGTTTGCCATTCTGAGTTGTATAAAAAAATGTGTTAAGTTATTTCTCTCTCAGTTCTTTCTTACTAATAGAACTAACTTTTTTAGTTTGTTTTGTTCTACTATTTTTTTTTTTATTGTTAGGGAGGCATACAAGCAAATGGTCCACCTGGTGTCTTGATTTAACAAAAACAATTTTTGTTTTTGACTATGTAGTCATGATTCTAGTAAAAAAAAAAAAAAATTAAATGAATTAACAATTTTTCTTCTTCCTTTTGAAGGTCACAAATATAAAAAAAAATGTTAATATTTTATTAAACTAGGTGTCATCTTAATAAATAAATAAAAAATCGTAAATCGAACCTGCAACTTCTGTCTTGAACTACATCACCGTGCTTACTGTACACGAGGGGTACACAATAACAATTTGGCTCACCATAATATATTCTTCAAAAATCTCAGTTTTCCATTTCCAATCCATAAATCATACATTACCTGGCAAGATTACTGCAAGGGTTGCGTGCGTGACAGGCAATTTGTCATGTGGCCGACCAACCGAGCGGGACGGGATTCGATTCCGTCGAGGATTTGAATTTTGTTATTGTTACGCTACTGTGATTTTCTGCTTATTGTTATCATAAGGGGCATTTATTTATTTAATATATATATATATATATATATATATATATATATATATATATATATATATATATATATATATATATATATATATAGATATATATATACCAATTAATACACACTTTTGTTTTGAGCAATATAGGTATATCAGAAATAATTACACACACATCTCTAGAATAAAAATATTAAAAATAAATATATATATATATATATATATATATATATATATATATATATATATATATATATATATCGTTATGTTATATTAGTATCAAATATTAGTTTTTGTCTAACATAAATTGGTGCATAAAATTTTTTAGATAAAATATTAAGCAATACTTATACACATTATCAGGGCCGGTGGGAGTCAAAATTTTCTCCCGGACAACCGCTCTTTTCAGCGCTTCCTATTCGAAAATATAATTCTGATAATTATACAATTTTAGTATGTATAATAGTCGCACAATTTTATTAGTTATTATGACTTGATAAATAAATATTTTGATTCAAAAATGTTGGTTTTAAAATTCATTAATTGACATCCTTAGCAAAAATTAAACTTAAAATTAGAAAAAAAAACTGTTTGGCCCGGGGTAAAATTTTCATCTGCAATGTGGGCCGACTATCAAAATATTTGCCCACCCCTGCTGTAGAATATCTAACGACTCTGACTAAAAATTGTATCACATTTTGCTTTTTTCCATTTAAATCAAGTTTCTTTAAAGACTTTGTCCTACAAAAGTAAGTCGGAATTTTGGATTACTAGCGATAACCTTTATAGTTTCAATTTTGTATATTTATAACAAGTTTACTACTGTAACTTTTTAAAAAAAAATGGTAAACAGTATCTATCTATCTAGCTATACTTTGTCACTGTATTTACAAAACAAAATGCACTTGTTATGGTAAAAAAAAAAAATGGGAAAAATATACGAAACAATAGAAATCCGATACGATATGCGTCCAATTACACAGCGGCAATATTTTCCTAATTAATTAACATTATTCTTCTAAATCATTCAAACCCTTTTAATCCCTCGTACGGGGGTAAAATAACACGCATAGGGTAAAAATAGGTCATGCGTGTACGCCTTTAATCTGTTTAATTAACATGGCTTAGGTTCGATTTTCACCCCGCGGCGATATTGCTAATGACGTGTTAATATTTAATGGAAATTTATGTGAAATAAATAATACTGAAGTTAGTCCTCACTATGAATGTATTTTTTTTAATGCATTTTTTTTATTTAACTTAGAATGGCAAAGAAACTGATAGCCCACCTGATGGACAGTGGTAAAGTCGTCTATAGATATGAGAAAGACTACGGACATAACAGAGTATACTGTTTCGCCCATGAGACTCCATGCGTTGCCATTCCTGAGGACTCAATTGTTATTCCTCTGTACCCAGTAAATTCACCACCATATCCTACCCTTCAAACCGAAACACAGCCGTGCAAACACAACTGTTTCACGGTTGAAACACGAATGGGACAGAGGTGCCCAAGCAAACGACTTTTGTACAAAATCTCCCAAAAATTTAAATGAATGCATATAGAATGTTAATTCACTATACGTAGTGGATAATATATGTTAGCCTGCGTTAACGTATATTTTTTTAATGGATGATAATGGAATTGATAAAAACAGCCTGACGCTAACATTATGATGAAGTTTAATAATAAATTAATAAAAACAGAGAATCCAGTTATCTGATATACCCTATATCAAAACAAAATGAATTTCAAAATTATTAATTACAAAGATATAATATATATATATATATATATATATATATATATATATATATATATATATATATATATATATATATATATATATTTTTAATTTAAGCTTTTTACTGAAAAACCTTCAAAAAATAAAATAAAAAAATATATACGTATTCAATGTTCCCATTTGACTAGAATCCTTCTTATTCAATTTTCTGTAGTTTAGAAAATCTAAGAATGTTGAAAACATCTTTTTTATTATATTTATTTAATTTTTAATAAAAAAAAAAAACCTTCATACCTATTTTCCACGTCAAATGTACCGTACTTGCGTATTATACAATAGGTACTTACTATTATATAAAATGCAACGTTTCAAGATAAACTTTAGCACTAATGAATATTAATATATGAAAGAAAACATCATTTTAGGTACGTAAGTAATTTAAAGTAAAAAAAATTGCTAATATATCAAGACACATACGAAATAGGGTTCCGCATCCAATTCTGAACAGTCTACAGTAATATCATTTTCGTATCAGCCTTTAATTGTCTACTTCTGAACATAAATCTCGCCCTTAGGGGGTTTTGCCAGTAGTTGTCACGCTTGGCAGGCGGATTGGCAACCGTTGTTAAGCTTTAGAGATGGTTTAAGACGGACGCTGCTGTCCATCTGCCTGTTAAGTTCCCTTAGTCGCCTCCTACGACTCTCTCTCTTTCTTTCTCGAGTTTTTTGACAAAGTGGTCGTGATTTTTACAATGATAGTAGGTCATCGATGAAGTCCTCCTTCGTGACTGAGGTCCTCGCAATGCGTCTCCATCTAATTCTGTTCACAGCCGAGCGAGAGCATTCCACAAGAGACTGCTGTGTGGCCGTTTTGATGCGGTCACCTAAGGGTCCTAATGGGCTACCCTTCCTTTCCCGTGGATGTCGTAAGAGACGACTAAGGGAGAGCGAGGAATGGACAACAGCGTTGCTCTTCAAACATCTCCAAACCTTAACTGCGGTTATGAACCCACCATAGCATGACATCTACTGAAAACAAAGCAAAACCCTCCCTAATAGAGGAGATGTATGTTCAACAGTGGAAAGAAAACGTTTGAAATGATGAAGCAGATAACAGACGTTTCTTAAGAAACATTTATAAACTGTACTCGTAAATTCCAGTTGTTATTTTAAAAACATACAGTACCCAGCTATTAAAATATGAAACGTTCTTGACATATTTTTTTTTTAATTCAAACATTTCGTACAACATTAACTATTCGTTTTAATACATCAACATATTCTTATAACATAGGTTGTCTTTGCATTTAAATTAGATTCTTAATTTTGTATTTACATATTTAAAAAAAAAATATCTACAGTAGCAATAGTTTTGCGAGTTTTATTAGTCATACGCAATCAACATACTGTGCTGTACGCCATGATGCTGTTTCTAATATTAATTCTCCTATTTTACATAGCTGTTCTATTATATTTCAAAGTGTCACTAGGAATTTGTAAGTGTAGCAAACATTTAGTGGGCAAAGTGGTGATAGTGACCGGAGCAAACACAGGAATCGGGTACGAGGTGGCGAAGGACATGGCGCATCGGGGAGCACGTGTCATCCTAGCATGCAAATTAGAGGAGTACGGCAAAGAGGCGAAAGACAAGATCGTGGCGGCCACAGGTAACCTCAACGTGGACTATAAGTCGGTGGATCTGTCCTCCTTGAATTCTGTAAGAGCATTCTGCGATGATATCTTAAAAACAGAAACGCAACTTGATATATTAATAAACAACGCGGGCACCTCCACGAAAGCTTACAAAATAACCAAAGATGGATTATTACTAGACATGCAAGTAAATTATTTCGGACATTTCCTATTAACTTACCTACTACTTCCTTTATTAAAGAAGTCGTCGCCTAGTAGAATTATTAATACGTCTTCGATTTTACACAAAGCGGCGAAGTTAAATTTTGACAATCTAAATATGGTAAATGAAGAGTACAACGCACAAAAGGTTTACAATAATTCAAAATTGTGCAATCTATTAATGAGTATGGAGTTAGCAAGGCGGCTGAGTGGCACCGGTGTAACCGCTAACTCGTTGCACCCAGGCGCTGTCTACACGAAGCTAATGACTAATCATCCGGTCATGAAATTTGATATTCTAAGATATATCGTTAGGCCATTCATGAAGTCCAGCTGGGAAGGTGCCCAGACTACCATCTATTTGGCCGTGTCTCCTGAGGTCGAAGGTGTGACCGGTGGTTACTTTGTTGATTGTAAGAAAACAGCGCCATCTATTACAGCTCAAGATGATCATATCGCAAGCAAATTGTGGGAAGTCTCTGAGAGACTAGTAGGTTTAAATTAGAAATGCATCTTCTGTATTTTTTTTTTTATAATCTATAGAATAAAGCTAAAGTATTAATGTAACATATTTAATATGATTTAATTCTTGTAAAGATATTATTATAAAGTACCTAATATGAGTTACTATTGAAAGTTGTTTAGTATTTTTTTTTTAATTTAACTACACTAAAAGATATACAAATTTATTTAGACTTACCGTCACATTAATTGTGTTCACATAAAATAAATTATTTGTTTGAGTTTATATTGTTTTTTTTTTCTTTTTTGCATGCATGTGTATGTGTGCGTATGTATATAATATATTTATATATGTATGTATGTAATATATTTATAAGTTTTATTATCTGTGCTCTGTTTTTTCATCCATGTATGGTTATATTAAAGTAATAAATGTGTATTTATTTATTTATCTATTGTAATCCGCATAAAGTATACTAACTATAGTACAGTGTTTATTTACCTTTTATTATACTTACTATGGCACACGTACAAAAAGAAAAAAAAGTATATATTACTTCTTTTATGTATTCCGCTTTTCTTTTTATACGTATTCTTTTATCTCTTTTTATTGTGTATATCTCTCTCTGTCCGTTGTTATTTGTGTGCTGTAAGTAATGCATATACATTTTCTATCTATATTATCAATCGTCTAGTAAGTACATACTAGTTTCTACTTATAACTTTGTTCGTCTGACCGCGATATGTATGTTAGTGATGTATTTGATATTATTAAAATTGTTAAAATATATACTTGGCCAGTTTTTTTTTTATACAACTTAGAATGGCAAACAAGCTGACGGCCCACCTGATGGAAAGTGGTAACCGTCGCCTATAGACATGAGCAGTACCATGGACATAACAGAGTATACTGTTTCGCCTATGATACCCCCCATGCGTTGCCATTCCTAAGGACTCAGATGTTATTCCTCTGTACCCAGTAAATTCACGCCATATATAACCGAAACACAGCCATGCAAACACAACTGCTTCACGGTAGAAACACGAATGGGACAGAGGTACCCAAGCAATCGACTTTTGTACAAAGTCTCCCTCTGGTAAGTTTTGTTGTTTAAGGCATTTTTAACCGACTTTAAAAGAGGGAGGTGCTCAATTCGGTTGTATTTTTTTTTGTTATTACCTCAAAATTCCGTCAGTTGTAAATCGACTTGACAAATTCCTATTCCTATTATATCTGAAGAGATATTGTTATATAGAGGAATTTCGGTGGAATATTGACTTTCATCACCTACTTCATCTCACACTTAGAAGCTGGTTCAGGGCTCCCGTAATTCGTGTTATCGTTGTCTATTTTTCCTCGATTTATGTGTATGCATATATAAACAATAATAATAATAAATAATAATCTAAACTCACCCCAAATAACCGAAGATTGTTAATATTTTTAATCACTGCCGTGGAGGTCGATGGTTGTTCCCGCGTAAAAGTTGACACACAGGCGTTGTTGCACGGCACTCACACCAGAGGGCAGGCGTCTCCACATATCCCCGTAATGACTAATTTACAGGGACAATGTTTTTTTTTTTTTTACAACACAGGGGGCAAACGAGCATGCGGCTATATATATATATATATATATATATATATATATATATATATATTTATATGTGTGTGTGTGTGTTGTAGAATTGTGAAAGTGTGGTGCCGCAAAGTAAAAATATTACAGATAAATTAAACAGATATAATTATTTAATAAATTTTATATTTAATTTATAGTTAGTTATATATATATGAATGTATTTATATAATATGTAGTAACAATATTTATACATATTTTAGTAATTATTGCACCGGCAGCTTGATTTTCTGCTTGCCTCATAGTTGACTGGTAGAGAACGCCATTAGGTGTTAAGTCCGCCATATGTACGCTTACTTATATAATTGTGCATTGAAGTTTAAATAAATAAATAAAATTTATAATATTTTATGTACATATATTAATTTGCTAGAATCCTCGTTCAATTTTTAGTTCATTAAAGGTGCGTGCATGCGGAAGCAGTCTCCGGCGGATACCTTTTCTGGGCGGCGGAGTTTCTTTGGCGGCGAAATCAATGGGGCGGCACTATGGTGAGCAAACAATCAAAATAATGAGGATAAATTGATTTAATTAATAAATATAAATGATTATAACAATATTTTATATAAAATATTGTTATAATGTTAGTATGAATAACAGTTGCGTATTTGAAAAAGCTATGCATAACATACACGGTGTTTTTCGAAAATATATATTATATGGTTTTCAAAAAAATAAATCGACAGAATTGGCTATTTATAACTTAACAAGGAATATAATTGACAACATAGATAGTCAAAATAAAACTGTATTACTTTTCTTTGACATGAAAAAAAACATTTGACTGTGTATCTCAGAAACTCCTATGGTACTCCTATGGTATTCGGGGACCAGCTTATAGTTGGTTAGAGAGTTATCTGGCGAATAGATATCAACATGTGGAAATTATTCGTCTGGATGAAAAATCAGTGTTAACATCATATAAATCAATTAGTAAGCACAATGGCTACGGTGTACCTCAGGGAAGTATTTTGAGGCCTTTATTATTTCTTACTTATATAAATGATTTACCTAAGGTTACAAAACATGTATGTGTATTATTCGCTGATGACATTTCTGTTACTATAACATGTGACTCATTGGCCGGCAGCACACCTGCAATGCCGTAGGTGTTGTGGGTGACCATGGTCGGCGGTAGTCACTTATCATCAGGTGAGCTGCTTGCTCGTTTGCCCCTTGTTTGTAAAAAAAAAAAACAGAGAACTTAGGAAGTTTTGAAGATGGGATTAACCTAACAGTTAATTCCATCACATCATCCAATGCTTAATTTGTTACTTAGCTCTCAAGTTCACTCGTCACGCGAAGTCGCGAGCAGAAGCTGGTTTGTTTAATTAAAAAATAATTTAATAAAAGTATAAAATATAATTTCTGTTTGGTCACCCTACATTCCTTTGACGCGCCGCCCGCATAAACAATGATATAGGAACAAAAAGCTTTACTTCCCCAAGGAGCGTCTTTTGTCGCGAAATGATCATTCTCCTCGTATACAGATTCGAATCCGGCAAATTAATGGTATGACTTTGATGTGTTTTTATAGGAGATTTTTTGTTAGACATTTTAATGAGAATTTATTAAGAACGTTCATACCAAAGTGTGGTAACTTATGAATTTCATTATTAAAAGTATTCATACCAAAGTGTGGTAACTTATGAATATCGTTATTAAAAGCTTTCATACTAAAGTGTGGTAACTAATGAATTTCGTTATTGAAAGTATTCATACCAAAGTGTGGCAACTAATGAATTTCGTTATTGAAAGTATTCATACCAAAGTGTGGTAACTAATGAATTTCGTTATTGAAAGTATTCATACCAAAGTGTGGTAACTAATGAATTTCGTTATTGAAAGTATTCATACCAAAGTGTGGTAACTAATGAATTTCGTTATTGAAAGTATTTATACCAAAGTGTGGTAACTAATGAATTTCGTTATTGAAAGTATTCATACCAAAGTGTGGTAACTAATGAATTTCGTTATTGAAAGTATTCATACCAAAGTGTGGTAACTAATGAATTTCGTTATTGAAAGTATTTATACCAAAGTGTGGTAACTAATGAATTTCGTTATTGAAAGTATTCATACCAAAGTGTGGTAACTAATGAATTTCGTTATTGAAAGTATTCATACCAAAGTGTGGTAACTAATGAATTTCGTTATTGAAAGTATTCATACCAAAGTGTGGTAACTAATGAATTTCGTTATTGAAAGTATTTATACCAAAGTGTGGTAACTAATGAATTTCGTTATTGAAAGTATTCATACCAAAGTGTGGTAACTAATGAATTTCGTTATTGAAAGTATTCATACCAAAGTGTGGTAACTAATGAATTTCGTTATTGAAAGTATTCATACCAAAGTGTGGTAACTAATGAATTTCGTTATTGAAAGTATTTATACCAAAGTGTGGTAACTAATGAATTTCGTTATTGAAAGTATTCATACCAAAGTGTGGTAACTAATGAATTTCGTTATTGAAAGTATTCATACCAAAGTGTGGTAACTAATGAATTTCGTTATTGAAAGTATTTATACCAAAGTGTGGTAACTAATGAATTTCGTTATTGAAAGTATTCATACCAAAGTGTGGTAACTAATGAATTTCGTTATTAAAAGCTTTCATACCAAAGTGATATCAGTCATATCAGCCATATGATGATGATGAAATAAAGAACAATAAAAAGAAATCAAATGTTTCCTTCTTATAATATTAGTATTAGTGTATATATCCCCATTTACATGAGAAGTTCAATTAAAATGACAAAGTTCAAGAACTTAACTGTAAATGACCTCAATTGACTAGATGATCCATAATTGTATTTGTTCGCTCTGGTAGTTTTAGACAGACATTAGATTTAGCGGTAACAGATTATTTGCAGGTAAATTCTAAACTCTAAAATTAAAGAATGTGTTTCACAAAAAAAGCCGATTTAAATTTTTTTTTTATACAATTTAGAATGCAAACAAGCTGACGGTCCACCTGATGAAAAGTGGTAACCGTCGCCTGTAGACATGAGCAGTAGCATGGACACCTGTTTCACCCATGATACCCCCCATGCGTTGCCATTCCTGAGGACTCAGGTGTTATTCCTCTGTACCCAGTAAATTCACATCATATCCCACCCTTCAAACCGAAACACAGCCATGCAAACACAACTGCTTCACGGTAGAAACACGAATGAGACAGAGGTACCCAAGCAATCGACTTTTGTACAAAGTCTCCCTCTGGTGACAAAACAAGTTATTTTGGTCTAAAAATTACACTAATTTAATAAATTCTCTATGCAACCAATCTGTAAATATGTACTTTCAGATAAAAAAGATTTTTAAAACTGACGGATTTATAAGGTAACATACATAAATAAAATAGCCTTGTGGTTTCCGCATAGAAGGAGCCACTCCTTCCTTTTTCGTGGATGCCGTAAGAGGCGACTGAGGAAACTTAATGGTGGAGGAGCGGGCAGCAGCGTTCCTCTTAAAACATCACTAAAGCCTAACTGCGGTTGACAACTCGCATGCCAAACGTGGCAACAACTGACATACCCCCCCCCCCCTAATGGAGAAGGCCTATGTTTATCATTTGACCGTTTTTTTTTGATAAGTGAAAACGGTATGTTAACCCCGCCTGCGCTAACGGGATACACTGGCGGAGC